GTGTGTGTGTGTGTGTGTGTATGTGTGTGTGTGTGTGTGTGTGTATGTGTGTGTGAGTGTGTATTAAATAGCATGTGAAGTAGCACGAGGGTGCGTGGAGTATCGCTGTGGCATGCATAGATCATATGAGATTTGAATCTTTTGCTTAATACTTGCATGCAGTGGCATTAATTGGAAGAGACGCATACTTAAAGGGCTCATCCATGTATCTATATGATGGGCAAGTGTAGCAGACTGCTGACTATAAAACTCGAAAGCACACATTAAATGTACACGATGTACTCAATTGAGAGCGATCCAGCACGCCGTTCCAAGTTTAATATATATCCACACGCAATTAAACACAGTCGTATATGTATTTGCACCGCTACACGCATAAAATATCCAAACGGAATTAAACACATTCGTATGTGTATTTGCACCGCTACAAGCATGATATATCCACACGCAATTAAACACATTCGTATATGTATTTGTACCATTACAAGCCTACTATATATTCACACGCGAGCAACTAAACACATTCGTATATGTATTTGTACTATTACAAGCATGATAAATATCGTCACGCAATTAAACACATTCGTATATGTATTTGTACTATTACAAGCATGATATATATCCACACGCAATTAAACACATTCGTATATGTATTTGTACTATTACAAGCATGATATGTATCCACACGCAATTAAACACATTCATATTTGCACCGCTACAAGCATAATATATCCACACGCAATGAATCACATTCGTATATGTATTTGTACCATTACAAGCATACTATGTATTCACACGCGAGCAATTAAAACATTCGTATATGTATTTGTATTATTACAAGCATGATAAATATCCACACGTGACTAAACACATTCGTATATGTATTTGCACCATTACAAGCACAATGTATCCACACTCAATTGCACACATTCGTATATGTATTCGCACACAGTCGCCGGCACGTGACTACCCCCGTATACATGCACACAAGCACCTGTCTCTGCGGCCAGGAGCACGTCCCTGCCCCCCATCAGAGCTTTCAGCGATTGATGTTGTATAACGGTGGGGTGTGTTATGTTAGCTTTCGTCAGGGCTTCATGCACCTCCGTGCGGATGCCGTCGGTTTTGCTGAACGGCACAGCTTTCAAGTCTGGGCCACTAGTGACTTTGGGGGTGTTGGGTTTGGTGGGCCGTGATTCACTCGACAACGCGTGTCTGTGTGTGTGTATTTAGAATGAGGATCTTAGGTTGGCGAGGTGTTCAGGCAAATGCGCAGGGGCTACCGGTTGCACACAGGCACGTCCTGTGCATATATATATATATATATATATATATAATCACATTTTAAAGGCGTATGATACGAGAAACAGATATTCGTTGTTGATATCTCGGGAATGAATGGCATTCTTAGCACTATTATGTCGCACACATTGTGTGGAAGAGCTTACTTTGAGTGTCGGGGGAGGTATAAATACGGAGCATAATTCATTTACCAA